TAACACCCATTCTCCTCAAACTATTTCAAAAAATTCAAGAAGAAGGAAGACTTCCAAACTCATTTTATGAGGCTAGCATAATTCTAATTCCAAAACCAGAAAAAGACACTACAAAGAAAGAAAACTACAGGCCAATATCCCTGATGAACATAGACGCCAAAATCCTGAACAAAATACTAGCAAATCGGATCCAGCAATACACCAAAAAAATTATCCACCATGACCAAGTGGGATTCATCCCAGGGATGCAAGGCTGGTACAATCGCAAATCAATAAACGTGATACACCACATAAGTAAAAGAAAAAATAAAGAATACATGATCATATCAAGAGATGCCAAAAAAGCCTTCGACAAAATCCAGCATCCATTTCTGATAAAAATGCTTAGCAATGTGGGAATAGAGGGATCATATCTCAACATAATAAAGGCCATATATAAAAGACCTACAGCCAACATCATACTCAATGGGCAAAAACTAAAAGCATTTTCCTTAAGGACAGGAACAAGGCAAGGATGCCCACTTTCGCTACTCTTATTTAACATAGTACTGGAAGTCTTAGCCACAGCAATCAGACAGGAAGAAAAAATAAAAGGGATCCAAATGGGAAACGACGAAGTGAAACTGCCATTATTTGCAGATGACATGATACTATACGTAGAAAACCCCAAAGACTCCATCAAAAATTTACTTGACTTAATAAATGAATTTGGCAAAGTAGCAGGATACAAAATTAACGTCAAGAAATCAACGGCATTCTTATACACCAATGATGAACTCACAGAAAGAGAAACTAAGAAAACAATTCCATTTAGCATTGTGGCAAAAAAATTAAGATACCTAGGAAAAAACTTAACCAAAGAAATAAAGGACCTATTCACAGAAAACTACAGGTCATTGAAAAAAGAAATAGAGGAAGATATAAAAAAGTGGAAGCACATACCCTGTTCATGGATTGGAAGAATTAACATCATTAAAACGTCCATATTGCCCTGGCCAGTTTGGCTCAGCGGTTAGAGCTTCGGCCTGAGGTTCAGAGAGACCCGGGTTCGGTTCCCGCTAAGGGCACGTACCTCGGTTGCAGTTTGTCCCCGGCCCTGGTTGGGTCGTGTGGGTGGCAGCCACTCGATGTGTCCCTTTCACGTCGATGTTTCTCTCTCTCTCTCTTCCTTCTACTCTATCTGAACAAAAAATAAAAAATAAAAAAAATGTCCTCGGGTGAGGATAAAAAAAAACAAAACAAAACAAAAAAAACGTCCATATTACCCAAAGCAATCTATAGATTCAATGCAATCCCCATCAAAATACCAATGGCATACTTCACAGAATTAGAACAAGTACTTCAAAAGTTTATATGGAACCAAAAAAGACCTCGAATAGCCACAGCAATCTTGAAAAAGAAGAACCAAGTTGGAGGGATCACATTATCAGATTTCAGGTTATACTACAAAGCCACTGTAACCAAAACAGCCTGGTACTGGCACAAGAACAGGCATATAGACCAGTGGAACAGAACAGAGAACCCAGAAATGGACCCAAGGCAATATGCTCAATTAATATTTGACAAAGGTGGCAAGAGCATACAGTGGAGTAAGGACAGCCTCTTTAATAAATGGTGTTGGGAAAATTGGACAGCTACATGCAGAAAAATGAAACTAGAGCATCAACTTACACCCTACACAAGAATAAACTCAAAATGGATAAAAGACTTAAATGTGACTCATGAATCCATAAAAATCCTAGAAGAAACTGTAGGCAACAAAATTTCAGACATCATACGCAGCAGAATTTTCACTTATACATCACCTAAGGCAACAGAAACAAAGGAGAAAATGAACACATGGGACTACATCAAACTCAAAAGCTTCTGCACAGCGAAAGATACAATCATCAAAACAGAAAGGCTACCCACTGTATGGGAGAGCGTAATGGCCAATAATATATCAGATAAGGGGTTAATTTCCAATATATATAGAGTGCTCATAAAACTCCACAAAAGGAAGACAAAGAACCCAATTAAAAAATGGGCAGAGGAACTGAATAGACACCTCTCCAAACAGAACATACAAATGGCTAAGAAACATGAAGAAATGCTCAACATCATTAATCATCAAAGAGATGCAAATTAAAACAACAATGAGGTATCACTTCACACCTGTCAGAATGGACACCATCGACAAATCATCAAACAAGTGTTGGCGAGGGTGTGGAGAAAAGGGGATTCTAGTACACTGCTGGTGGGAATGCAGACTGGTGCAGCCACTAAGGAAAACAATATGGTGTTACCTCAAAAAATTAAAAATTGAACTTCCATTTGACCCAGTGATCCCACTTCTAGGAATATACCCTAAAAAGCCTGAAACACCAATCAAAAAGAAGATATGTACCCCCATGTTTGTAGCAGCACTATTTACAATAGCTAAGATCTGGAAATAGCCCAAGTGTCCATCAGTAGACGAATGGATAAAAAAGCAATGGTACATATGCACGATGGAGTACTACACAGCTGTAAGAAAGAAAGATCTCTTATCCTTTGAGACTACATGGAGGGACCTGGAAAGTATCATCCTAAGTGAAACAAGCCAAACAGAGAAAGACAAGTATCATATGATCGCACTTATTTGTGGAGCATAATGAACATAACAGTCTGAGGAATGGGGTAGTCCCAGAGATGTGGAAGTGGGGTACAGACTGACAATCCCCAGAAGAGGGGGTGGTGGGGGAGAGATAAATCCCAGAACTTATATGCGTGTATGCATGAACAACGGACATGGACAACAAAGTGGGGGACAGGGCAGGGGGGGAGGGGGAGGGGGGATAAGTGGGGGAAATAGGAGAAACATCTGTAACAAAAATTAATTAATAAAAAAAATGAAAAAAAAGAATGACTCTAAGCCAGGCACTCTGCTAATTACATTGCATACATGAACTTCTAGTCCTCCTGACAGCCATACAAGGGACCTGCATTTACAGAAAAGGAATCAGGGTCACAAATGTGATTGGCTCAAGGTCACAATTTAGTAAACATGGAACATGGATTCTGACTAAGGTCTGTCTGCCCTCCAAAGCCAGCCTTTCCCACTGCATTATAACAGAATAAACCAAGTGGTGTAAAACACTGAGTGGGAGCCTCTAAATCTACTTTAGGGGTGTGTAGTTGTTGCACCTGGGAAAATTTTACAGCGGAGAGGATCTGATTTGGGCAAAAAAGGGTGGTCCAAACAGTGACACACATGAGACCTATTTAGAGAATAAAAGGTTGGGTGGCATGTTGGGGAGCAGAGGCAGGCTAGAATCAGATTGGACATAGCCTTAAATGCCAGGCTAAGGAAGGTGGGCTCAAAATCCAAGGTCAGGGCTTCCCTACCTGGGGCATGTATACTGAGGGATCTCCCAATGTAATCAGGTATGAGAAACCACAGGTAAATGTGGCATATCACCTGGAATTTCAATTTTACTCAAAGGCTTGGGGAAAAGGCCATCTTGTGTTTTGTTTTATTTTTTAATGAAAGATGTATTGTGGCATTGGATGTAAAGTCATATGAATTTTAAAATAAAGCTGGGATTTCAAAAACATTTCCCAATTGCAGTAAGCTGTTTTCCATTGAGGAAGTGTTTGCAAGTTGTACACTCTTTGATGCCATTAGGGATAGGTCAATAGGGGAGTTATTTGGGAAGTATTGTTATAGGTGATGTGAAACCATGGACTAAACTCTACTGAAGGCTTTAGACAGAGCTGGCTGGGACTCAAAGATGAACAGGAACTGACTGGCTTTGGAGAGCTTGCAATCTAGGCTTTATGAAGCTGATGATACTGAGCAGAACAAATAAAAAAACAGGTGAAGTTCCTTTCCTCTCTCTCATCTCCTTGACACATTACTCTTGTAAGTCATCCATTTTTTATTTAAAAAAATACTGCACAACTCTTTCACTTCCTGTGTGACCTTGGCCAAGGTACTTAACCTTTGTGTACTTCAGTTTCCCCATCTGTAGAATGGGAATATAATAATATATACGCCATAGTGTCACAAAGAGTGTATTAGTGAGAATTAAATGAGAATTTGTACATTTTTATAATAGAATCTGGAACAAAGTTCAGCCCTGTTTAAACACTAGCTATTATAATGAAATTATTTGGACAACCTCTACAGCTACTGTGTTTCAGTCATCACTTCACATAGCCATCCATTCCTTAGGTCATTCATGTTGGGGGCAGGAGATAGTTCTGGAAAGAATAAAGAGATGAACCAGATTTTTTTTTTTTTTTTTTTTATCCTCACCCGAGAACATTTTTCGATATTTTGTTCAGATAGAGTGGGAGGGAGAGAGAGAGAGAAACATTGACGTGAAAGGGACACATCGACTGGCTGCCACCCGCACAACCTAACCAGGGCCGGGGACAAACTGCAACCGAGGTAAGTGCCCTTAGCGGGAACCGAACCCGGGTCTCTCTGGACCGCAGGTCAACGCTCTAAACGCTGAGCCAAACAGGCCAGGGCTGAACCAGATTTTCTATTGCAATTGTACAAACTTATACATAGGAGGTGCACAAACTGTTTGTTGAATGAATAAATGTCTTCCTACTAAACTAGAAGCTCTTTAAAGGCAGGGGCCATTCTTCCTAGCTGTTGAATTACTGGAAGGAAGCACTTGGTGAGGCACAGTAGGCACGTAAACTAATGAATGCATGGGGAGATGAAGGGATACAAGACTACAGGTAGAAAATCATTTAAAGCCACAAACCTGGCACAGATAAAGGGATGCAGAAAGAGTGCCAATAGTTTGAGGAAAAGATTTAACCGCCAAAGACCAACAGCATGAAGATTCAGCGGACGCCCAGCTTTTGCTGCGCCGAGTCTAGCAGGAGTGAGCGGTGGGCGAAGACCTCTGCGGCACGCCCCGCCCCGGCCCCGCCCCTCCACGGGCCCACGTGACCGTGGGGCGGGCCTCTGCGTGGCCCGGGTAGGAGCGACACAGTAATCTCATCTCCGCGAGCAAGAACCATGGCTGGCGTGGTGGACTTCCAGGACCAGGAGCAGGTGAAGTCGTTTCTGGAGAACATGGAGGTGGAGTGCAACTATCAGTGCTACCGCGAGAAGGACCCGGATGGTAAGCGCCGCCTGCGCGGCCTGGGAACACGTGGGAGCTCCTGGAGGAGGGGCGGGGGCGGGGGCGGGTGGTCACGTGAGCGGTCTCAGGGACTCTGGAAGCGGTCACGGGGACTGGTCGGTCTGAGGGACACTGACGACCTTGCGTGTGCCGGGGCGGGTTGGGTTCCACGAGGACTCTCCGGGCTCCCCGTGGAGGAATGCTCCGCCGAATTCAACCTGGAGGCCGGCCGGGAAGAAGTGCTTTGAGCACTTCGGGTAGAGGAACTGGGGCTACATCAGTAAACAGATAAAATTCCCTGCCCTCATGGAACATACATCTAGTGGGGGGAATTGGACAATAAACATATGGAAATAAGTGGAATGTGTGTTAGAAAATAGTAAGTGCAATGGGATAAAAGAAGTGACTGAGTGGTGCCAGGAATTCTGAAGAGCAATTTTAAATTGACTGGTCAGGGGGCATCGTTGAGAATATGGCGTTTGAACGAAGCCTTGAAGAACGTAAGGGAGATTTATGCCAGGCAGAGGTACCAGTTAGTGGAAAGGACCTAGGACATGAATGTGCACTGTGTGTTCTGGGGACACTGAGTTGACTTGAGTGTAGGTGGATGGTGGTGTCCAGAAGGGGCCATCCAAAGCAGCCAGTGTGTTTTGGGTGGTTTTCTTCTTCCTACCTTGATTGATTGATTGATTGCTTTTAGAGAGAGAGAGAGAGAGAAATACCCATGAGAGAAAAAAACATCGATCAGCTGCCTCCTGCATTGCACCCGGACTGGGGAGCCAACCCACAACCTGGATATGTGCCCTGACCAGGAATTGAACCCACCATCTTTTGGTGTATAGGGTGATGCTCCAACCTCCTGAGCCACACCGGCCAGGGCTTCCTACTTTATTTTTATAAAAGAAAAAAAAAATGGCACTGGGCCTACCTTATAATAGCTTGCAGCCTAGTTTCCAGACATGATATAGCTATTTCTTGGTGCTAACCAACTACGCAGAGGTACTCTGCAGTATAATGGCTTAAAAAGAATCCAGAGTTCTTTGAGGTCTGGGCCATGTCATAAATGTAGAGAGAGTTCACAGGAGCGTCACTGAAGGGCAGGGTGGTTGAGAAAGATTTCTGGGGTTAGTGAGAAGGAGTAGACCTTCCCTAATCGCCCAATCTAACCATTTCTCCAACATGCACAACAAACTCTTATAATCCTGTTTTATTTCAGTCATAACATTTATTACTGTTTGAATACATCTTGCTCACCTATTTACTTATTTATTGTGTTTACTCCTCTAGAATATAATTTTTAGGAGGGCAAGTGACTATATTCCCAACATCTGGGACAGTGTTTGGTACATAGATGAACATAGATGCTCAGATATTGTTGAGTAAAAATGAATGAGAGATGAAGAAGGCACAGACAGGAGAGATATTAAGGAGAACCTCGCTGGGACTAGAGACTAGGGGAGAGAGTATATTTCCAACTCCTTTGCTAGCTGCTGTTTCTACTCTGTTTTCAGGCTTTATGTTGCTAGCCTGGCTGAGGAGTAAGGTGCAGTCATCGAAGCAGTCCTTTCTTGATGCTACAAAGACTGGCCCATGGATACTTTTGGTTTTCTGCATTTGACTACCGAACCTCCTAACAAGTTCCAAAGCTAGCAGAGTTCAAATTATGGAAGTCACTGCATCTTTGGGCTGGCCTGGCTAGCAGGGAACAGAAGGGCTGGTGAGAGGAGGAGCCAGTGCAGAGGCAAGGTCTCCCCAGTCCTTACATTGCTCAGTCCCTGCCTAAGGGCAGACAGTGACATTTGTAGGAATGGCTGAACACCACTTGCATTCTTTGTTACACCTTAGGAGAACAGAGGCTGGTCTTAAATGAAAGACACATCTGGCCTGTCACACCTGGACCCTCTCCACTGCTGAGCAGTGGCCCAAGGTATGAAGAACACCTTTTGTCCTCTTTTCACAGGTTGTTATCGGCTGGTAGACTATTTGGAAGGGATCAAGAAGAATTTTGATGAGGCTGCCAAGGTGTTGAAGTTCAACTGTGAAGAGAACAAACACAGTGATAGCTGCTACAAACTGGGGGCCTATTATGTGACAGGAAAAGGTAAGGAGGGCATGCTTTCCTTGGTTCTTGTCATTGATAGTAGTGCTGACCTCACACTCAGCCTTCTTTGTGGAAGGGTCCTCACAGGCATTGGGGAAGCACATTGCAAGAAGATTTGGAAACAAGTTCAGCAGAGTGATTAGGGGAAGAGTACAATCTTTTAAGTTAGGCAGACCTTAGGGAATGCTATTTGCAAGTAGTGAGTGGGACCTTGAGCCAATCACTTTAACTTTGTGCCTGTTATATCACATGTAAAATGGAGAAAAAATAGTACATGTTTCATAGGGTTGTTGTGAGGAGTAAATAGGATAATGTAGGTAAAGGCATCAGCTCATGCCTGGCCTAGAGGAAGGGATCAATAATGGTTAATTCCCTTCCATCTGTCTTTTGTCTTCATGCCCTGATTTTAGTTATCACGGGAGTAGTGTTTATCTGTTGCTAAATAGCAAGTTATCCTAGCAAACTTTTTTCACATAGTTCTTTGGGTCAGGGATTTGGGAGTGACTTAGCTATGTGCCTCAGGCTCTCATGAGACATTAACCAAGGAGCTAGCACTGCAGTTATATGAAGGCTTTACTGGAACTGGGGTTTACAAGTTTAAGATGACTTACTCATGTGGCTGTAGGTAAAGACTTCTTTCTGTTCCTGGCCAGCGGTTACCAGGTGCCCTCAGTTCCTTGTGACATGGATCTCTCTATGTGTCCTCATACCACAGAATCTGACTTCCTCCAGAGTGAGTGATCCAAGAGGGAGAGTAAGAAGGAATCCTTAGTATCTTTTGATGAATCCTCAGTGACCTACCTTTGGATGTCACATGTTTCATTCTTATCACGTTCTGTTTATTAGAAATGAATCTAGTCCATACTAAGGGGAGAGAACTTAAAATTCCACCCCTCAAAGGCAGGAATATCAAAGAATTTGTGGGCATATTTTTAAACCACCACAAACAGGGAATATGACCTTTGACAGGCAGCCTTTTATTTTCTCTCACTAGATCATGAGCTTCCTGAGGATGTTATGATAAATTCATACCTTGTTCCCAGTGCCTAGCTAAGCCTGGTTGGAAAGATGTTCAGTGAAAATTTGATGAAGATGTCTTTTTTTTTTTTTTTTAATATTTTTTTCTTTATTGATTTTAGAGAGAGAGCAAGGGAGAGGGAGAGTTAGAAACATTGATGAGAGAACATCGACTGGCCACCTCCTGCAAGCCCCCCACTGGGGATCGGGCCCACAACCTGGGCATGTGCTGGTCATGTGCCCTGACTGGGAATAGAACCGGCAACCTCTTGGTGCATGGGTCGATGTTAAACCACTGAGCCACACTGGCTGGGCTGAAGATGTCTTTTTAATTCTCTGAAGCTATGTGGATTATTTCTGCTTTCACGTGGGACATTGGGTTTGTGGTAGTCCCTATTCTGATGAAAGTGTAGCATCAACAGGAATATTAGTTTCCCTTCTGGTGCAGAGGGGCATTTCTTTAACTTAGTAATTTTCCTAATAACCTAAGGTATTAACTGAAAATGCAAATAAAGGTTATGTGCAAAGATGCTCACCCCACCCAGCATTATTTATCTGGCAAATTTATCATTAATTTATAGTTTACAAGCAGTACTAAGTGTTATATCTTTGTGCCTGTTATAGCACCTGTATTATGTCATAAAGGTTTATATTATTTACCTTATATATATATATATTTTTTAATCCTCACCCGAGGACATTTTTTGATATTTTGTTCAAATAGAGTGGGAGGGAGAGAGAGAGAAAAACATTGATGTGAAAAGAACACATCGAGTGGCCACCCACACAACCCAACCAGGGCCAGGGACAAACCGCAACTGAGGTACGTGCCCTTAGCAGGAACCCGGGTCTCTCTGGACTGCAGGCCGACACTCTAATCACTGAGCCAAACCGGCCAGGGCTAATTTTTTTTTTTAAATCTGTGTACTGTCCTGGCCGGTTTGGCTTAGCAGTTGGAGCATTGGCCCGCAGACCAATGTGTCTCGGGTTTGATTCTGGTCAGGGGCACGTACCTCGGTTGTGGTTTGTCCCCGGCCCTGGTTGGGGTCATGTGGAAGGCAGCCAGTTGATGTATCTCTCTCACATTGATGTTTTTCTCTCTTCCCCTCTCACTCTATCTGAAGATAAACAGAAAAATATCCTTGGGTGAGGATTAAAAAAAAAAGAAAAAAAAAATCTGTGTACCAACAGTAGCAGCTTAGTTAAATAAATAATATAACTTCCACTGGATGGAATATTATTTAGCCCATTAAAGATGAAATAAATTCATTTTCAGCTAAAAAAACTGGCAGAATGACCTATAACAGACCTATATTATGAGAAATAAAGTTGTTTAGATTGATGGAAAATAACAGATTAAAATTAGGATCCATACAAAAGAATAAAGCACATTAGAATATGTGTGTAAAAAGAAAACTTTTTTTAAAGGTAACATATATATGGAAGTAAAATAACAACAGTATAAAAAATAGGAATGTGGTAAAAGTATACTGTTGTTAAATTCTTACATTATATGTGAGAATATTAATATAATATTATATGTATATAATATTAATTCATGGTAGATTGTGATATGTTAAGGATATATAGTATAATCACTAGATAAACCATTAGAAAAAGAAGTATAAATAACTAAAAAGCCAATGATGAGAATGAAATGGACTGTTAGAGATATACAGTTCAAAAGAATGCAAGAAAGAAGAAAAAGGAGCAAAAAAAACATTTATGTCTACAAGATCGTAAAAAATAAAAAAATAGTGTTAAGAGATAGTTAAAATGTTTATATATTTTTGAGAATGGGTGATGGTGTTATCGGACAGGGACCAGCCTGGAGTGGGTTTGCCTCAGGCTGGCCTGTAGTGTGTGGGTTCTTGATTTCATGTAGGAAAGATTTCAAAACATGAGTCTAGGTGATTTTCAGAGTACATTTCTTAAAGCTGGGGACTGTGAAAAAGGAAGGACTTAGGGTAGAAGAAGTAACAGGAGAGAGCTTAGGCAGTACTCTGCTTTGGCTCTCTAGACATGTTAAAAGAAATGAGCCAAAGCGGGGCTGTTGTTAGGTCACTGGGAAGTGAAGGTCACAATGGTAGAAGTGAGCCAAGGTGGGGCTTCTTTTTTGTTTGTTTGTTTTCTTCTTCTTTTTTTTATCCTCATCCGAGGACATTTTTCCATGATTTATTCAGATAGAGTGGGAGGAAGAGAGAGAGAGAGAGAGAGAGAGAGAGAGGGAGAGAGAGAGAAACATCGATGTGAAAGGGACATATCAAGTGGCTGCCACCCACACGACCGACCAACCAGGGCCGGGGACAAACTGCAACCGAGGTATGTGCCCTTAGCAGGAACCGAACCCGGGTCTCTCTGGACCGCAGGCTGTCGCTCTAACCGCTGAGCCAAACCGGCCAGGGCTGTTTGTTTTTTTATCCTCACCCGAGGACATTTTTCCATTTTTTGTTCAGATAGGGTGGGAGGGAGAGAGAGGAAGAGAGAGAGAGAGAAAAAAAAACATCGATGTGAAAGGGACACATTGAGAGGCTGCCTCCCGCACGACCCAACCAGGGCCTGGGACAAACTGCAACTGAGGTACGTGCCCTTAGCGGGAACCGAACCCAGGTCTCTCTGGACCGCAGGCTGATGCTCTAATCGCTGAGCCAAACTGGATAGGGCAAGGTGAGGCTTCTTTAGCTCACCGGGGAATCAGAGAAAAGGGGGCCTTGGAGACAGGATCAAGGGGTAAGCCCAGGTTGAGCTGCCATTGTCTGCTGCTCCCCTGATTGCAAGTCTCATGGGGACCCTTGAAGTTTAGGGGGAAGTAAAAAGTCCATGCTGAGAAGGGGCATGGGCATGTTCTATAGCACCTGTACTGGGTCTGTCTTAAAGCTTTTTAATCTTTTTTTCTGTGGGCAAGAATCTTAGGGAAGTGTTTTAGCGTAATATTCATCAGCTTTCCAGGTGCATTTAAAATATACAGATGCATTAAAATGAGTGGATTGGGGAGTTTTGGATTATTTTTTGGTCTGCTTTATTGTTTTACTTTTATCTTGGGCCAGTCTGGCTTTAATGGGACTTCTGTTATTTGTTCCCCTGATTTCATCTGTCCTTGTGTTTGGCTGGCACAGATGGCATTAATTGGGTCTCTGTTCTCAATTTTCCCCAACCAGGGTGATTGAAGATATATATTTCCTGGTTAGGGAGGATAGGTATAAACCGTTTGCTTTTAAGCGTCCTTGGTTAGGGATGATAAGGTCTTGCAATTCACCGGCTGACTGTAAGTTGTTCAAATTGTTTGGCCATGTGTAATCTTCTTGTCTCAGTTTCCCTATTCCACTTGCCCAGGAATCTTCCTAGCTTCTTAACTATCCTGCCTCAGTGATAACATGGGAATTTCAACTTTTCATTAATAAAAAAGCGTACTAGAGAAAAAAAAGTGAGCCCTGTAACTACCTCTGCATAAAATGACCCATTAGTGGTTTCCTACTTATTATTGCTGCTAGGATTCTAAGTCCAGGATCCTTAACACAATTCACCATACCCTGCTTATCTCTCTAGCCTTCTTCCCCAGGATTTCTGGGTTTAAGCTACATGGGCACCTTTTCTCTTTGTATCCTTTTCCTTCTGCCTGGAACAAGTAATATTTTCTTTTCCTTCTTTTTTCCATTATTTCACAGCTCAAATGTCACTTCTTTGGGGAAGCTTTCCTTGATACCACCTCCTAGTCCAGGTCAGAGCCCTGATATATTCTCATAACATCCTATACTTTTCCTCCATACAATTGTCACACTTATATTCATACATTTATTTTTGTAGTTGTTTAATATCTGTCTCATAAGATCCCCAGACAGGGACAGAATCTGTTCCCCAGAACCTAGCATAGTAGTTAGCAAATAATATACATTCAGTGTATATTTAAATTAACAAACATTAAATAAAGTGCTTATAAGATGCCATATTCTCACTGCAATCATATGAGGTAGCTATTGTTATCATTCCCACTTTTTGCCTCCTTTACCTTCATGATCTGCCTCATAAGTTCTCATTTGAACAAAAGGTTCCATGGCTAGCCCTGGCTGGTTTGGCTCAGCGGTTAGAGCGTCGGCCTGCAGTCCAGAGAGACCAGGGTTCGGTTCCTTCTAAGGGCACATACCTCAGTTGCAGTTTGTCCCTGGCCCTGTTTGGGTCATGTGGGTGGCAACCACTCAATGTGTCCCTTTCACATCGATGTTTCTCTCTCTCTCTCCCCCACTCTATCTGAACAAAATATCAAAAAATGTCCTTGGGTGAGGATTAAAAAAAAAAAAAGATTCCATGGCTAAAAAAGCTGGAAGATCTGTACACTATACCAGTTCACCTTCCTTTCATGTGCCTTAACTCAAGATATGTAAACTTGATTCAGGAATTGTTCCCTAACTTTGGCCTGAGACAGGTTCTGCCCTGACTCGGATTTACTTTTTTCCTTCCTCCTAGGTGGGTTGACCCAGGACCTGAAAGCTGCCTCCAGCTGCTTTCTGATGGCATGTGAGAAGCCTGGAAAGAAGTCTGTGGAAGCATGTCACAATGTTGGTCTCCTGGCACATGATGGACAGGTCAATGATGATGGCCAGCCTGATCTGGGGAAGGCCAGAGACTATTATACAAGGGCTTGTGATGGCAGCTATGCTTCCAGCTGCTTCAACCTCAGTGCCATGTTTCTGCAGGGTGCTCCCGGCTTTCCCAAGGACATGGGCCTAGCATGCAAATACTCGATGAAAGCCTGTGACCTGGGCCATGTCTGGGCCTGTGCCAATGCCAGCCGCATGTACAAGCTAGGGGATGGTGTCGATAAGGACGAAGCCAAGGCTGAGGTGCTAAAAAATCGGGCCATGCAGCTGCATAAAGAACAGCAGAAAAATGTCCAACCTTTAACATTTGGGTAGTGTGGTCCACCATCCTGTGCAACAGACACTGGCACCTCCTATTCCTAATACAGCCCTTGGAGGTCAACCTGCTGGAGCAGGAAGACTTGAGACTTGATATTAGTAGTCCTGGTTACATATATCCATTGCCCAAGAGTGTTACCTACTGGAATTAGCCTGAAGTGTTTATTTCTTTAACTGGTGTGTTCTGTGAAGAGACCCACATTAATGGGGCCTTAGATCTCAGACTCTTAACTCTGTGAAAAACAGCAAACTAGGGAGCCATAGAGATTTTAGGGTGAGAAGGGTGGGGAGGAGGAACAAAGAGCAGGAAATTGGAAAAATTAGCAGCCATAGGGCCTGAAGGAATCAGACATCATCATCATCATCATTATTTTAGTTGGGAGGGCTTGAAAGTCAGAAAGTATGTTGATTTACATAATAGGAGGCTTAAGGAGCTAAGAATAGTCACGAATGCCACCCTCTGATTTATGTAGTCATTGGTGTGGGCTTTAGTTTTACCTTTAGAGTCACATTTTTCAGTAAATTCATAGAGATTAGGAAGATTAAAAGTGGTTATGCTTCAGGGTTGCTAAAGAGGATGAAACATAAACCCTCCTTCAGTGGAGACATTTACAGTGGACTGGCATCCCTAGTCTACTTATCTGCTGAGGGAGCAGACTATTCCCAAGGCAATTTAAGGTAGGGATTATAAGCAAGGGTTTGTAACACATTTTGTCCCTCAGAACTGAACCTTTTTAACTGTTCCTGTGAATAAACTATTTTGATTAATATTTTTGTTATTAGTGTTTTGTCCACATTCTGGGTAGGGTAGAGATTATGTTCTTCTGTGGTTGTGTCTTTTCAAGGTTTGCTTTTTCTATTATTTTCCTAACTTGTCACTAGGGGGCGAGCTTATCATTTTCCTGCCGATTAACAGGACCTTTATTTCAGTCACCACCTACAGTTTTGGGGCTTCCAGTTTTGCAGCTGTCCTAGGAAGGCTTGCTGTGTGGATGGTTTGTAAGCAAAGCCCACCAGTTTCTCCAGTTGATAGAGGGAAGGGACTTTCCCAAGACCAGACAAATCCTAAAAAATGAGTTTATTTTAAAAAATGTAAAGTAGCTGTTGTTGTGTTTCAAAAATACTCTTTTGGCTAACAAGCGTGTGAAAAGATGTTCAACATGGTTAGTCATCAGGGAAATGCAAATCAAAATCACAATGAGATAATTATCTTACTCTTTTTAGGATGGCTATTATATTATTATTTTTTTTTAATCCTCACCAGAGGACACATTTTTTTTTTTTGCATTTATCTTCAGATAGAGTGGGAGAAAGAGAAGGAGGAAGTGAGAGAGAGAAACATCATGTGAGAGAGACACATAGAGTGGTTACCACCACATGACCCCAACCGGGGCCGGAGAGAAACTGCAACTGAGGTACATACCCTTAGCGGGAACCGAACCCAGGACTCTCCGGTCCACGGGCGGAAGCTCAAACCACTGACCCAAACCGTCCAGGGCTATTATATTTTTAAAAAGACATGTTTGCAAGAATGCATAGAGATTGGAAGCCTTATACATTGTTGGTGGGAATGTAAAATGGTGCTGCCACTATGGAAGACAATACGATGGTTCCTCAAAAAATTAAACAATTACCATATGGTCCAGCAATTCCACTAGTGGGTACGTATTCTTTAAAAATGGACAGCAGGGTCTCCAAATAGTTATAAACCTATGCACGTAGAAACAATCACAATAGCCAAAACATTTGACAGAATGTTATTTAGCCTTAAAAAGAAGGAAATTCTTACATAAGCTGTAATGTGGATGAACCTTGAAGACATTATGCTAAGTGAAATAAACCAATCACAAAAAGATAAATACTGTATGATTCCACTTAGATGAGGTATCTAAACTCATAGAGTCAGTAGAATGGTGATTGTTGGTCTGGGGAAGAGAGAAATGGGAAGTTGTTTAATGGGTATAGTGTTTCAATTTTGCAAGATAAAAAACTTCTGGAGATTACTTACACAAAATGAATATTAACTACTGAACTGTACATTTAAAAATGGTTAAGATGGTAAATTTTATGCATATTTTACCACAAAATTTTTTTAAAATGTAAACATTTAATTTTTTTTTTAAATGCAAGATCTAAAATTTTCAGCCATGAAAACTACTATGTTCTCTTGAAATGCAGTCTGGAACACAGCAAAAAAAACAATGATCCCTCACTATCCTTTACCACCTACCAGCATCCTTTGGCCCAACAATGTTGTTTAACCATCTTTTAAGAATCACGTCTTTTCCTAAGAGGGGCTTTATCAGACTTACGTTTTATCTCCCTAGTTAGACATGTAGCAGTAGGTTGAAAATAAAAACAACAAACAACTAATGAAACAATAGATTTCTACCCCTAATTACTTGGCATTTGACAGATGGAAGCACAACATGCCATTTAGATAGTCTGTCAAATAGGACAGGCACAAGGTCAGGGAGTTATGACTGAGTTGTAGAGAGTGAAAGCCAACAGAAATCTACACCTATTGAACAAAAAAGTATAGTGACTCTACCACTAACATTTCCTGTGAAGGGCAGGGTTAACTTTGCAAATCTGCCAAAAATAGAGCATCTCATTTGCTGAATGTTTGCATTTACCAAATTTAACAGCAAACTTGAAATTACTTTTTTGGACTTCTATCTGAAGAGTAGAGAGATAGTGTAAATTCAAAGATTTCAGTGGGAATTTTCCTTTTAACTGCCAGGTAAATATTTATTGAGTTAAAATATTTTGTTGCAACCACCGTACATACTGGATACATGTATTTTTAGAGCCACACTGAGTTCCTGTCCTTCCTGAGTGCTTTATAAGTTATTTATGTTGGACATGTTAAATCATTTGGTTGAGTAATCAATCCATCCTACAGATGTCTCTCTTGCATTATTGTAACTTTTCACATAATAAATATTCTTACTCATAGTTTCATTTTAGCCCTGGAAACAAAGTTCATTAATGTGAGGCCAGGTAGTATAGGCTTAGAGTGTGGATGGCATGTGTAGACTAAAAACAAGATGGGAGAGGAAAGCATCGTGTAGCTTTTGTTCAGATGACTTTTAGATCTTTAAGAAGATCTGTTAAAAGGTAAATTATTCTATGGTGTTTTTTTTTTTTTTTTTAATTCTTTACAAAAAAAAATCCTCACCCAAGGATATTTTTCCATTTCATCTTCAGATAGAGTAGGAGGGGGAGAGAGAGAGAGAAACATCGATGTGAGAGAGACACATTGATTGGTTGCCTCCTGCACGACCCTGACCATGGCCAGGGACAAAACTGCAACTGAGGTACGTGCCCTTGACTGGAATTGAACCTATGACTCTTTGGTCCAAGGGCCGATGCTCTAACCATTGAGCCAAACCAGCTAGGGCTCCATGGTGGTTTTATATGATGTATCACTAAAAATGAAGTAGTGAATTCAGTTTGATTTTTTTTTAATCACATTTTTTCAATTAAATAATGGGTTTTGTAATTTTGAAGAATTAGGGTAACTTGATTTTTGGTAGCAGATGTACTGGGCTATAATAATAAAAGAAAAGTTTATTTAGATAGTTTTTTAATAAAAGAAAGTTTATTTAGAAAGTCACAGAGGTAGAATAAGTGAGTGGTAGAAGAAATGGACTCAGGAAACAAGTTACAGAGGCAAAAGAAGGGCCCATGGAGCTTAGGAGAAAAAGGAGGGCGAGGAAAACTTGGGAAGAAGAGGGGTAGAGGAGGGGGAAAGATGCAGGCATGCTCGGGGCAGGGGAGGGGAGAGCACTGGGCTATGTTTTTGTGGACTAAATCCTGCCTGGGGCCTGTGGTGCCTGCCTGCTTGCCTTGGATCACATACCGAGATAGGGTTGGAAACAATGGAATGAATATTAACAGTGTCAAAATGTTACATTTCACAGAAGTTATTAAAATGCAAAGAATAATATTTACTGTCCAGAAAGGTTTACGGCCATTTTATATGCAGGTTGCTGTGGGAAGGAATGGGTCGATAATGGCCAGCAAGGTTGACTTTCTCACTTTTGTTCAACCTTTGAGGCAAGGTATGAAAATTGGTTATCAGATTCTGGTTAAACAAGCAGTATCTTACTGTGTCTTCTGGCCAGCAGGCATTTAAATCATCATTCCCAATTATTTCCAATGTTTTTCTTCCCTGCTAGGCTTGGGCTGGATGGTCTCATGGGGAAGAAGTTTCATAATTGACTAATGGTTTATGTTCTTATTAGTGTTCTGTCTAAAATCTCACAGTGCAATGCTCGGTGCTGTGAGAAAGGGAAGCAAGAATCTCAGAGAGGGATGGGAAAGCTAGAGGGTCTGGAGATTTTGGGTTTTATCTTGTGAGTCATGCAGCAACAATGAAGGGTTTTGAGCAGGAGAATGAAATAATCACATTTGGAAATTAGATCACCCTTTGCGGAAAATGGATTGGAGGAGAGTCATGTAGTGGGTAGGAGGAGGGTGGAGTCAAGAATGGGCTTTAAAAATAACCAGAGCCTGGCCAGTGTGGTTCAGTGGTTGAGTGTCAACCCATGCACCAGGAGGTCGCCAGTTCAATTCCTGGTCATGGCACATGCCCAGTAGTGGGCCCAATCCCCATTGGGGGGCATGCAGAAGGCGGCCTATCTGTGTTCTCTCTCATCGATATTTCTATCTCTCCCTCTCTAAAATCAATAAAGAAAAAAATATATAATTAAAAAAAATAACCAGATTTCAAGAACATTTGAGATCTTGCTTCCAAGCATATGTTGTCAGTTTGGCTCAAATAAACTCTTATAAAAAAATTTTTTTAAATACACAAACATTTCTAGCCTGAGCACCCAGGTGGACAGGGGAAGCCATTCACATTGATTTGGAGCCTATGAGATCAAGATGGGGACAAAAAAACTTTGTTGAGCCGTTTGGTAATATTTCTAAAATTTAGAAGTACATTACACTTTAATTTGTTAAAGTTTTATGAAATTGCTTGAAACATTTTGTGAGAGGGTAGAGGGAAAATGTGTAGACTTCAGATCCTACAGATGTGTGGACCTCTGGATACGTCAAAGGCACACTGAGCATGAGTGTTTAGGGCACCTAACAAAGAATGAGAAAATAGAAATTAAAAAATAATTTTATAATTTTAAAAAGCCCAAGTAATCACTTTGCGGGGGGGGGGGGGGAGGATGCAAACTTTTTTGGTTTCCTAATGTTCGTTTTGCAGTTTAGATCTTTTTACTTTTAATTCTTCATTAAGGTTGAGGGGCACCAGATTATTGGCAGTTCTTAGATCTAAGGGCCTTGACCCAGGTTTGCCTTTTACTGGCTGTGTGACCTTAAACAAGTTACCCAACCTTCTGGGTCTGCTTTTGTCACCTCTCAAATGGGGATAATTTTTTCTAGTGTTGTTCATTTTTTTTTTTTTTTTTTTTTATCCTCACCCGAGGACATTTTTCCATTTTTTTGTTCAGACAGAGTGGGAGGGAGAGAGAGGAACAGAGAGAGAGAGAGAGAAACATCGATGTGAAAGGAACACATCGAGTGGCTGCCACCCACACAACCGACCAGGGCCGGGGACAAACTGCAACCGAGGTACGTGCCCTTAGCGGGAACCGAACCCCGGGTCTCTCAGGACCGCAGGCCGACGCTCTAACCGCTGAGCCAAACCGGCCAGGGCCATAAAAATCTTTTTAAACAAACATTTTTCATTTAATGATAAAAGCTACTATTTAATCCTC